CCCCCCCCCTCTCTCTCCCCCTCTCTCTCTCTCTCTCTCACTCTTACTTTCACTGTACTTTGTACTCAACCTCAAACAACAGGTTATGTAAATTCAGACAAGTAAAATAACACTGACTAGGGGCCCTCGAGCACGGCTTTTTGTTGTTACAGGAAGTTAGTGTTGATCTCAAAGGAACAGTGTGTGTTTATCTCGGAGACTTGGAGAAAGTGAACAGGCCCTTAACGCCAGTAGTTCCAGATTACTTCCAGATTATTCCAGATTATTTTTATCCAGATTAAAAAAAAGCAAAAAACAAACAAACAAAACAAAACAAAAAAACATTTTTTTTTTTTTTAACAATTATAAACCCAGGTAGTAGTGATGAATGTCCTTTTTTGTTTCCAGAGGGAGACTGTATATCATACCTTTTTGTTTTGCAGTAGGCTTGATTCACTGTTTCAAGTTTTAACTGGTTTATTCAATCGTTTTGATGAGACTTTTTCACAGGAAGTGTTTATTTGTGGTTTTAAATATATTCAGAAACACCGATTCTGTTGCCAGTTGTTGAATTTTTTTCTAGGTCAGGCAAAAATGGCAATTTATGATACCAGGAAAATAAAGATTGAACAAAATGTAAGTAAATTGTGGTTTTTAACCTTGTGAAATCTAGAATTTTGATTGATTTCCGGTATTATAAGGCTACGGGAGATCTTATTTTTTTTAAACGATTTGGTGTTATAAAAGGGCTCTGTGTGAAGTTATTGATGAGGATTTAGAGTTTGCAATTTTTTAAATCTTTGTGTGTTGTTAATTTGTTTTGGGTTTTGTATTTTGAGTTTTATGCAATGTAGGGGTTGATTGTGTAATGTGTTTAAAAAAAGAATTGTAATAAAGGTGTGTTGAAATTCAATTCTCTCTCTCTCTCTCTCTCTCTCTCTCTCTCTCTCTCTCTCTCGCTCTCTCTCGTGTGCGCATGCGTGGGCGTTTGTTGAGTGAGTGCGAAGAGCGTGTGGTGAGTTCGAATGAGGTTTCTGCCCGCTGTGGCTTTCCTTATATATTTTTTTCTGTTTAGTTTATTTTTTTATTGTATGGATATTGTTTTTTTTTGTTTGATCTGCATTAGGTAGATAAAACATTATTTTGTTTTGGGCGTTTTTTCGCCAGGGATTCACTGAGGGCATGGCGGCCCAAAGTGTTGACTCGTTCGGTTCATTAACGCGGCGCCATGGAGTTAAAGTGGTGGCCGCTGCAAGTGTGGAAGATTGTATTTTGGCAATCGGAGAGATTGTTGGATATAAGAGCATTTTAGCAGCGTCAAGGATGAGTAATGCAGTTGTTTGTTTTTTGAACACTGTAGAAAATGCCAATGATGTGGTGGAAAGAGGAATTGTAATTCGTGGCCTTTTTACATCCGTGCTTCCTCTTTCGACCCCTGCGAAAAAAGTTACTCTGTCAAATATCCCACCTTTTATTAAAGATGAGGCTTTGGTTAAAGAATTGTCACGTTTTGGAAAGTTGGTTGCTCCAGTGAAAAAAATCACGATCAGAAGCAAATCTGAGTTGATTAAACATGTGGTGTCTTTTAGGAGATTCACATATATGATTTTGAGTGAGAACAGAACAGAACTGAATTTAAATCTGAAACTCAGATTTAATGATTTCGACTACACTGTCTATGTATCTATTGACACTATAAAGTGTATTGGATGCAACAAGACCGGACACTTGGCTTGTGCCTGTCCCGAAAATGGAAGTACACGCACGAAGCAAGACACGATAAATGAGAAAGTGGTGCAAGATGAAGAAAGCGCTGCTGGTACGGAAAGGGAATTGACTTTTCACATTTTCTATAAACATGATGTGATGTATATTTTAAATGTAATGGTTTTATGTTTGTAAACAGTTTCTGTAATGTTTTTTGAAAAATCAAAAAAATCTCTCCCTCTCTCTCTCTCTCTCTCTCTCCCTCTCTTTCTCTCTCTCTCTCTCTCTCTCTCTCACTCTTACTTTGTACTCAACCTCAAACAACAGGTTATGTAAGTTCAGACAAGTAAAATAACACAAAGGACACTGACTAGGGCCCCTCAAGTACTGGCTTTTTGTTGTTACAGGAAGTTAGTGTTGATCTCAAAGGAACAGTGTGTGTTTATCTTGGAGACTTGGAGAAAGTGAACAGGCCCTTTACCCCAGTAGTCCCAGATTACTTCCAGATTCCCCCCCCCCCCAAAAAAGGCAAAAAAAAAACC